ACGTCACATGGGGAGCAACTTTCTCGGACTCCTTCCCTGCCCAATCCGCGGTAGTAGTTTGTAGTTGGTTTGAGCGGTTGTGATTTAGTGAGCTGGTATTTTTTCGGTAATTTCACATTGCATTTTCACCATATTATTCAAAGTATGTATTTTTATAAATATATTTATTTTGGTAGGTTTGCTCTTCCGTAATACATTTTAATTATTATAATAACGTACATGTGTCTATTAATACTTACATACTTTTACTTAAGATATGAATGCAGTACTTTAACTTGTAATGGAGTATTTTCACAGTGTGGTGTACTTTTACTTCAGGATGTACTACCTGCAGCAAGTGCTGATAAAGGGTCTAAAGTGTTATTAATGTGATAATAAAGTGCTACTGAAGAGTGTAAAGTGTTAATTAAGGGTAAAGGGAACAGACCTGCTCTGTGGATCCGAAGCTGAGGCTGTAAAACAGCGTCCAGTAGTTTCTGGAGTCTCTTGTTCTCCTCTTTGGAAAGAAACAGCTCCTCCTCGAGCTCTGCTATTGTTTGTTCAAACAGAGCAAATATCTCTTCTTCAGCAGCAGTGAATCGCTGCTTCTTCAGCGACAGCAGCATTTTGACTTTACTCATGTTTCCTAGATCACCTTTCCCTGCAGACTCCGTTAAACACACCGTTTCTCTCTCCAGCAAATTCTCAATCTGACTTGTGTTGCTAACGTGTTTCCAGCTAGCATGCTAAGCTAGCTCCTATAGTCCGAGGTAAACGCTCCAGAAAAAAGAGCACAGAGTCCATTCAGAGGTTTATCCAGATACACAGATGATGGATCAGTACTGCTGGAGCTCACACACACTGTATCGGTAACACAGATAGAGAGAACCGAAGCGACGGGATGCCTCCTTGATTCAGGTTAGAAAGATATTCTTCTTATTCTCTTTTTTTAATGGCGGATCCAAACAGCTTTTAGTTGCTTACCGCCACCTACTGTATGAGTGTGTATTATCATGTCATTCTATCTTTAATAGAAACAAAAATACGAAAAATAGAAAACCGTTAAATAAATAAAACAAAAAAACACAATCATCATGATTTGTTAGACCCACAATGAAGTCAAAGTTATTATTTAGAGTCATAATTTGATCAATGATAATGATGGAAAATGATTTATAATTGCCATGGGAATTCTTTTGCTGAAATTGATTGTCATTTTTAAATCGTAAATATTATCTGTTTCGTTGTACCTTCCGGTGTTTATTTAAGTGAAGGTAATGAGGACGCCGCGGTGCTCTGAGACCTGATGAGAACGGGGAGCGGAACAGTTTTTCGACCGCAAATTGTACAACAGAATAGTGTTGCAAATTGGGACTGCAAAGCATAGTTTTCATAGGAAAGTATATCGCCGGAAATATTTATTTTAGATTTTGTTATTTTGAGACCATTTAATTCAATACTTTTTTGTTAATAAATTACATTGGCTGACTGAAACCCTTCGGCTGCTTATTGCTTTGGTTTGCATGTCGTCAACCCGCTCATAGTGGCAAAAGGAAACCTTGGATGCCATCTACATCAAGTCAAAAAACCTCCGTAAGGAAGAGGACACACACCTTGGATCACCGGAAAAGAGGGACACACCGGAGCGCTACAGAACTGGCCCGGTGGTGAGTAAATTAATGCGTACACGCATTGATTGGAATGTCGGACTGTGTTTAGTCTAAAAGGAAATCATAACGGCGATGCACACATTGTAGGAGGATTGTAATACCTGTGGACCGTCTGTGAAAAGAATGTGATGAATCCAACACCAAGACGAAAAATACTGTAAACCCCAGGGATCAAAAAATATTCGGTGAGGGCACACCATCAACCTCCCAGCGCCAAAGACATCAACACCAGACGGAAAACATCAGTAAAACTGAGGAAAAACTCAACAAGACACAGAGGTGCTCAAGACAAAGAAAAGCAGCTTGACAAACTCCGGAAGAAAGGTACAACACTTGAAGCAAATTGGGGCTGCAAAAGGTTGCACCAGGGGCTGCTTGGGACTCAAACAAGACTCACAAAATGGAACTGGACACAGAAATTGGCAGCATCTGCTGCTAAAATAAAGGTTTCTGCCAAAGCATTGACGTGAGGAAAAAATGGATGATCAAAGGTTTATGAATGCTTATCTGGAGGAAAGCAAAGAAAGAAGCACTTTGGTCCTGAAATCTCAGCCATGGAGTTCATGCCATTGGGTGCAGTGCCTAAAACCACCACTTCAGAGGACTGTCATTAAGTCTTCACTGCCCTCAGCAACCCACGACACAGTTAAGACTTTAAAATGCCCACAATGCATAGCTCCACTCAACGCAATGAAATCCATGATAACCTCGACACTGTTATACAAAGACAGAGGATATTGCTGACCTCATCATTATGCAGCAGAAACTTACTTGTTACCAACAATGGAGAACAAATGTTTGATGGTGATCCACTTGAA